CAGGAGACAGCAGTGTCCTCTAAATAGCAATATCAGGGGGCTTTCTGTACTTTGATTTGTTTTCTAGTGAAATCAGTAGTGGGTGATGAGATGTAAGTCTCAAGTAGGTGAACTGGCATTTATGAGCATGTTGGAAGCAGACAGTAAAGGGGGAGAATTACAGAATTTAGCTATCCAGCATTCTTGCAAAAATGGTTAATTTGCACCATGCAAATACTGTGACTCTTGCACATTGGGTAATTACACACGTAGATCACCATAATCACCCCTTGACACAGTTCTGTCTGACTAGTGTGGGGAGTACCAGTGTTTTCAGTCTAGATCTGCCTTGTGGTATTCAAATGCCACGAAAATCTGGTTTTTACTAAAGTATGTGTTTCTGGCAAGAGCCAGTCAGAGGCAGCAATCACATCTGGGTTAAATATCAGAGTTCCTTAATGGCTCAAACACAAACCAGACTGGAACTGTGCAGAACCTGGTAACCCGGAGTGTGTTCCTGTGAGGCCAGGATGTTGGACTGCTCTGTAAATGGGAATGACTTGAGTGCTTTTTTAATGCTTTTGTGCTTGGGACTGATGGGTTTGTCATGGCAGTGCTGGCCACATCCCTTCCTGAGGGACAGTTTGGGGAGGGATTGGCTGTGGGCATGTCCACTTCCAGAGTCACCTGCAAGAAATGGACAGCATATTGGGTGAGGAGGGAAATACACTGTCCCAAAACTTGTCACTGAGGTAATGTCAGGCTGAAGGGGGTCATGATGTATGTATGTCTGTAACACAACCACCAGACTGATTTTACTGGGAAGCTCCTTTTGCCATCCCAAACCTCGGTCTCTCATTGATTTTGTGAGCCCAGCACCAAGCCCTGGAGGCCAGAGGGACAGGGCCATGTGTGATGCTCAGCTCTCACCTCCCTTCTGTCCCCCCAGGTGCAGACCCGCAGCTCCGATGAGCCCATGACCACCTTCGTCGTGTGCAATGAGTGTGGGAATCGCTGGAAGGTAGTGCACCAGGGCTCTTTTACTGGTACCCAGGGGTGTTGGGGGGCTGCACCCAGCATGCTGCAGGCACTTGGCTGCTGCTCAGAGGTGCTTGCCAAACCCTCACTGGCTCTAGAGAGTGATCTTCCCTCCCAGCACAGAGGCAAGAGCTCCTGGGTTCATCCCTGCAGACCAGCTGGGGTCGAGTCTCATTTCCACATTACCTGCACTCTTCTCATATCCCTTCTTCCATAACCAGCTTCACAGAGCTTTCCATGCAGCCTCTGAGGGTAGTGGTGATGATGTTCAGGATTTCAGAACGGCTCTTTCATGCTGTGCACAGAGCTCAGGGGTGAGCAGAAATCTCCTGGTCAGTGGTGAGCAGAAATGATGCTACTACAAGTTGCCAAAGAGCCACAGTGAGAGATTGACGTGGGAGCTCCCTTTGGCCCCTGCTTCTGAGAACCCCCAAGCCCTTGCCAGCTTCTGAAACAAGCCCACACCTGGCTCCTTACCTTTTTCTGCAGCTCCCCTTGGCAGTGAGGTTTCTAATTGGGGTTTAAACTCCCTTCTCTTGCAGTTCTGCTGACACGTGCCAAGGCCCAGAGCGGCAGCCAAACGCAGACCCGAGCGCAGCCTCCACACGCCGGCTCCCATGGCAGTTGTGTTTTGTGTCCCAGTGAGTTTGCATTGTCACATGCTGAGAGCAGCAGCGGGGAGGCCTGGGCCTCACAGAGAGCCACAGCCATGGGCTGACAGGTTGGCAGGAGAGCTCACTAAACACACCCAGTCATTACTTTCTCATGTAAGCGAGTACGGTCACTTTCTCTTCAAAACTAATATTAAACATTTTTGTCAGTTTCTGACTTTTATTTCAACTGTGTGTGCAGCACTTTGTTTTTCCAGCATGGCAACTTGACAGGCGGTCCATGTCCAGGTGGATGAGGACTGAATAATGCCTGGAGCAGCAGAAAGTGAGATGTGACTTGCAGGCACACCCTTGGTGTGTGAAGGCTTGTTTCTGTCACCTCATGGAATCTTAACCACTGGGCCATGGCCTGGGGCAGCTGGGTGGGCAGTGCTGTTGACAGGAAACAGCTTTTGGGGCAGAGATCAGATGTTGCTTTCTATCTTGGCAGCATTCCCTGGATTTTGCACTGATTCCTTGTCATCTTGAGCCTTTAAATGCCAACAGCATCGGCTGCTGCAAAGATCAGAATGTACTGCCCAGGTTGTAACAGACTGAGAGCAGGGTGACACCAGCCACAGAAAATTCCACCCCAAACTGTTCAAAGTGAGTCCCAGGCACTTTCCTGTTTGTGCTCTGATTGTAGCTTGACAGCTGAGAAACAGCCTGGAGTTTCAGAGGGGCTTGCTGGAGAGGCTCAGGAGGAGGGAAAATGCTGCAAATACAGGAATTTTTCCAGAGGCTTGGATCTGGACAAGGTAAGGGCTAGAGGGATGGGTGGGAGCTGTTGGCACTTAGCTGTAGAAGTGGAGGAGGTTTGAAGTGAGCTCAGAGCTGGTGCTTGGAAGGGGTCAGATAAGGAAAAGATCCTGTAGCAAAGCCAGCCCCAGGTGCCACATCTGCAGATGTGACCCTGTGAAGGAGAGATACAGAATCAGGCTCCTTCTGGGAGCTAACTAAAACCTGGTGGGGAAATTCCATCTGAGCTCACAACAGCTTTCAGCCAGACCTAAAATCCCTCTTCTTTCCTTTTCATAGCCTTTAGCTGGGGTGATGCAGCATCTGGGGGACCCCAGCTGTGGGTCTGAGGCTGCCCAGGAGCAGTGCTGTGCCCTCCAGCTCTTGTGCTGACGGGCAGGGCAGGAGCATTTGCAGTCACATCTCTCATGGCATCGCTTCCCTCTTCCAGAGTGAAAAACAAGTATTTCCACTGGCTTCCCAGCATGCCAGACAGCAGACATTGAGCAGAGACCTCGGAGATGTTTGGAGAGGAGTGAGCAGCCACATGAAAGCAGAGGAAAACGTGCTCCCAGCCCCTTTGAGGGCTGTGCTGCTCCGGAGGCAGGGATCCCACCAGCATCCTTCGCTCAGGGCTTTCACTTTACAGGGTGAAGCCAAGTCTCCCAAGAAGGAAAATATTCAAAGACGCTGACAACTCCTTTAAGCCTCACGAGTCTTGTGGTGAATGGGATTATTCAAGCCAGGCTTGGGAGGGAGCAGTGTCCTCGCAGTGATGCTGAAAAAGCTTCAGGATCTAAAACCCACGCTGACCACAGCACTGGCTCATGTGCTGGGAAAGGGAGCCAGCTCTTTACCAGTGCCTCTTGCCTTTCTTCTTGTGTTCCTGTGAGGAGCGGAGCTGAGCTTGTGTACAGCCTTCTGACAATCCTGAATTAGGTACCAAGAGTCCCGAGCAGGAGTTTGGGAAAACTACCATGTCATTTTACAGTTCCATTTCTCAGGAGAGCCAGGGAGGGGAAGCACATTGGATAAAGAGGTGTTTACTTCAGAAGTAAAGATTTGCTTGTAAGGTGTTTAAAAGGGAGTGGGAGCAAGAGAAAAACTCAATTATCTTGTGGCAGTGGGGTCTTCCCTGTGCTGAGAGTTCTGTGGTGTGTGGAGATGTTCTGACCCCCAGCCATGCTCTTGAACAGCTTCAGGGATGTTCAACCTCCAACCCTCAGGCTGGGGCCACATTTGAGAGTATTTCCTTTACTCACAGAATGAACCCAGAACTAAAACTTCCCCTGTGCAGGGTGGGGATGCTGTAAGGTTGCAGACTGGGGAAAAACCTGCCAATAATAACAATACCAACATTCCTAATAAACCATTGCTGGTCTCTCTCAAAAATACATTTTCTTGAACTGTATTTCCAGCTTGGCAAAGAAAACTAAATTTACTGACATGAATTTCCACACAGTCATGCCATGAGGAAGGAAGGAAACAAAAACAAAACAAAAAAAAGCTGAAAGAATTGGTTTGTTTAAAAAATATGTTCAATAAAAAGCATTTTTTTTCTTTTGGAAGGGCTGAAGAGAGGAGGGGAAGGGATGGATAAATAAGAAACTGCTGTAGTGGATCAGGAGAAGCAAAGACTGGCAGCAAAACCCCTGTGTTGGCTTTGTTTCAGTGTGAAGGGCAGGGACAGACATGTTTTAATCCTGAATACTGAGCCTTCAGTAAATCATTCCTTGTGCTGTGCAAAAACATGGGAATTCTGTATCCTCCCTGGGACACTTCCCATCCTGCATGGAGCCCAGGCCCCTGCTCAGTGAGGGACCAGGGCAGACCCCTGGGCTTCTCCCTGCTGGCACAGCAGGCCTGGGCCAGCTGGGAGCTCTCATGCAGGCATCCTGTGGGTTCTGCAGGTGTTCTCCCCCTCTCTGAGGTCCATGAACCAAGGATGGAGGACGCTCTGGGTTTGGGGTGACAGTGTGTGGTGTCCTGGGGCTGGAGCAGTGCTGATGTGTCACGGGGAGCTGTAAGACATCTCCTGCCCACCCCCCAGCACATGCCCATGGTCCCTTATGGCACCTCAGAGCTCTGCCCTCTGCCCCACCAGGAATACAAACAGCCTCTAGCACCACCCCCTGCCCTTTGGGTCACCTCAAACAGCTGGAACCAGGTAAACCTGACAAGTTTTTTTATGTACAGAGATGCTCATCAACCCCCCTCCCGCACCTCAAGTCCCCCAGTAAAGGCCAACCAAAAGAGCATTTAAAATTAAAAAACAAACCCAAACCAACAACAGGTGACCTCCCTCCCACCTCAAAAAAACCCCAACCCAGTTCCCAACTGGGACTCAGGTGGCAAATGGGGACGTGCCATGTCCCCAGGTGTGGTGAGGATGGGATAAAGTGATCTCTTCCAAACAGGGTGTGGGGAGAGCCAGGCCCTGGGCGCCATCCTGTGCTCCCCCAGCTCCTCTGGCCAGCACTGGGGACAGGGCAGAGAATCAGTAGTATGAACTGGCCCAGGCTGTGTCCTGGGGACAGTCGTGGAGCGTGGCCCAGACACTGGGGTGACAGTTCATAGGTAAAAAGCTAAAAACTTGGTGAGGTCTGGCAAGGAGGGCGGTAGAGGGGACGAGGCACCGACTGCCCCTGGCCACCACGTCCCCACTGGTGTCCCCATGGCTAGTGGGTGCCCTTAGGACTCCGAGGAGGAGTGGGAGACGGTCTGGAGCAGCGATTTGTAAATGGCAGAGTTCAGGAAGCGGGGATAGGAGTCTCTGTGCATCAGCGTGTAGATCTGGAGCTGTGCGTCGTCGAAGGTGTGCGAGGACGGCTCCTGCATCTTCCGGTTGATGACCTCCCTCACCCGCGAGTCCAGGCTCACCTGGGGGGCACGGAGAGAAAGTGGGGGCTGGGGGACACCCAAGGACAAGCCCCCGGCCCAGCACCCATCCCCGCACCCCTCTCAAGGGAAACTGGGTAACAATGCAGCAGCACCAGACGTGGGGCGACCACAGCGTGCTCCATCCCAGAAGATACTGGCACTGGAGCCCTGGTGGTTGGGGAGGGTTGCAGGGAGGTGTGGGGATTTCCCTGGGTCCCCTCTGTGTTGCCCAGCGGGGCACAGGGAGGTGGTTTGGGGTGGTCCCGCCCTGGGTACCCCACTCCAGGGATGCTGGAAGTCGGGATGCAGCATTTTCCCGGCCCGCTGGTGCCCTCGTGAGGTCTCGGCCCCGCAGCACAACCCGGCCCGCGGTCCCACTGCCAGCAGCGTCCCGGGGGTTTTGGGGGGCTGGGTATCCCCTTGCCACCGCCGTCACCCTGCCAAACTCATCCCCAAACTGTCACAGGGCTCTGGCAGCAGCTGGAACTGAGCCCTCCCCATTTTAGCCTGAGCCCTCCCCTCAAAGGCTCTGACTCCTACCTCCTTGGGAGAGAGGATGGAGATGTAATCCTCGTAGATCATCCTGGCCTTCTCGTCGATGGTGTGCTTGTTGCACTCGGTTTTGAGCTCCTCACATGCCAGCCAGAAGAGCATGTTCTCCTCGCTGTACTCAGTCCGCAAAAACTCCCGGAAGACGTTGCGCCCCGCCGGGCTCTTCATCAGCTTGTCAAAGGACTGTGCCCAGCCCTGCACCTCCTCTGGCGTGGGTTTGGCACTGACAGGTCCATGGCAAGGCAAGGGGAAGGTGTTACAGCCAGCCAGACATCCCACTGTGTCCCTCATGCTCATCCCTGGTCCCACCCCAGAGGAACTGAGCCTGACCGCATCCCCCATGCTTGTGAGGAGATGTTCCTGCTCAGGCTCCGGTGGTGTGGAGCTTCCAGAGGTCATTCCTGGGGTCTATCCTGACTCTGCTCAGCCAGACTGGAGCATGGCCTTGCTTTGGGCTGGATTTCCCAAACTGGGATGCATTTTGGTGCTGGCTCTGCGCAAATATCAACAGGAGGAAAAGCCTGTTCGTGGAGAGGCAGCTCTGAGCCAAGAGACTGACATGGGTCCATCCCCCCTCTCAGCTGGGGAGGGAGAGAAGGGGGTGGGGAGGGAGGGAGGGAGGCTGTTTCCCAGCAAATGCTCAGCACCTGCTCAAGCAGGCCAGGTACACTCATTATCCATGGCTAATTAGCACATCTAACCGTGACCCAGCTGTTCCAGGCACTGCACATGAGCCCCCAGAGCTGGGTGTGTCACATTTGTCACTCAGGGAATGGGAGCTTGGTGCCAAGCATTCCTGGAGTGGGTTGCTGGCCCATCCTGCTCCTCCCTGAGTGGATGTGGACACTGCTGCTGCTTCCACTTCAGTGCTGAAACCCCCTGGGAATGGCCTGTCCCCTCCTCTCCCTGTGGCTGCAAGATGCTCTTGGCAGTGGGTCTAAATGGCAGAATGAGGTCCAAAATCTGCTGAGGTTCTTCTATGCCTCAGTTTCCCTTTGCAATGGGCCTGAGGGCAGAATCACAGTAGGATTCAGCCTGTGGCTCCAGATTCCCTGTTTCTTGGTGAGAACTGGGGATGAGCTGGACACATCACCAGGAACCCCTGAGCCCTGGTGTGTACCCCAAGGGCAGAACACAGTCCTGGCTGCCATGGAGGGTGGCAGAGGGGACAGTGCCATACTGTGCCATGCTGTGGTTGACCCCAGCTCACTGCACTGGCCCTGCACTCACCACGCTTCACAGTTTGGGATGCTCTCCAGTTTGGTCTCCCGGGATGCCCTCCATGCTCGCTCTCGGTCCTCGTTCCTAACAGGGAGACAGAAAGGTAGTCAGGGGCATTGGGGGACACGTGCAGACCCCACCTTGACTCCTGACCACTGAATCTCCTCTGTGGGCACCAGCACCCCCCAGCCATGCCTTCCTCTCACCCACTGCCTGGTGGCACCCTGGTTCCCTCATGCAGTTTTGCTGTCACCATGTGAGTGTGTCCCTGTGCTGTCCCTGTGCTCGGGGGCTGCTGTGGTCCTGCTCCACCACTCGGGCTGTGTGCCAGGGCCATGTGCCAGGGCCATGTGCCAGGACTGAGCTGAGCTGGAGTGGCCACAACAGCCGGCAGAGGTCAGTGCTGGACCAGCCCAAGGCGAAGCTGATGTGTTCACAACAATTGCGAGCTGTTGTGTCACGAACAATCACCAAGAAATAAACAAGTGTTTATTGGTGATGTGCCAGCATGGGTCCAGCCTGGAGGCAGATAGTGGGATAGAGGTGCTGGGGCTTGGGGATGTGGTGTTCCCTGTGTCCCCTTGTCCCCGGGGGTGCTGGTGGCACAAGTGGAGAGCAGCCATCAGCCAACTTCCCCTGGGCCCGTGAATTTCGGTGCCCAGCACTGACCGCAGCCCTTCCTGCTTGCGACACTGTCCTCGCTGCTCACACAGGACTGGCTGTGCAAACCTCTGCCCCAGCGTGGGCAGCTGGGTGGGCAAAGCTCTGGGCATGTCCCTGCCTGTGCCACCCCCAGGGCTCACTGCCTGCCAGGCCTGAGCCCCACTCTGCAACCAGCCCCGCTTGCTCCAGGAACGGGATACAGGAGGGACAGCTGTCCCATCTCTGGGATTTCTGCTCCCTCTCTGCTTGCAGGCTCTTGCAGAAATGAAGGACAGACACAGGGAATGCCACCAAGCCTAGGACAGTGTCTAGGAGGGAGATGCAGGGGCTCAGCTCCAGGGTTTTTTACTCCTCCAAGCTCGCTGCTCTTGGTGGCTGTAAAGACCAAAGCTGCTGCAAAGCTGGAGTCATCAGCAATCTCTGAATGAGCAGATGCTGAGGAGGAAGAGCAGATGGGCTCTCCAAACTCTGGGCTATCCAGAGAATAAGGAGCTGGAGATCCTCAGTAAGGACAGGAGATGCAGATGGAGGCAAGCAGCTGCTTCCATCCTTGGCTCTGGGCAGTGTTGAGAGGGCAGGGCTGGACTCTGTGCCCACTGCTCCAAAGCAGAGCTTCCCAGAGGGCTCATATGGACGGGGCCATCCTTCCCTGGAGACCATCAGGGCAGCACTGGGGGGTCCCTGTATGTATTCTAAGAGATTTGTCTCATGAACAGGAATCACAGTGCGCCCAGGACTCTTTATCACCTGCCCGTGACGAGGTGGGTGGGTGACGCTCAGTGGGGGAGCCTGCAGGAGCCAGGGCAGGGGCAGTGGGACGTACCAGGAGCAGCTGCAGCAGCAGCACCAGCAGAAGCAGCAGGCGTTGGGGCGGTGGTTGCTGGCAGGTTGCACCGTGGTCGGAGAGGTCTCATGCCGGGACATCGGAAGTTGTGACTCTGTGGCCGCGGGTCCTGTGCACTGAAAGGTGCAGAGGGTCAGGGAGCTGCCAGTGATCAACCCCCACCTGTGCAAGCACACAGCAATGGAGGAGCAGCCCCTGTGCAGTGACTTGCTGTAATTTGGTTTTGGCTCCTGCCTGCCAGCCCGGCCTCACCTGTGTCCCAGCCTCATACACGGCGGACGGCGTTGGGTCGTGTTTTGGGGGCTGTTCTGCCACTCTCGGCTCCTCCCAGCCCGCGGGTGAGCTCCGAGACCCCCTGGCTACTGTCCCTGCCGCCTCCTGGATGGAGCCTGTGGGGAGGGACAGGAGTGGCACCTCGTTACTGCACAGAAGCCCCGGCCTGGAGCGGCTCTGGGGGCAGCTCTGTGCTGGGGAAAGCCCTGGGCAGGTGGCAAGCGAGGGCACGGCAGCAGGCAGAAAGTGCAAGAAAAGGAAGTGAGAAGGAAAGTAGAAGAGGAAATGCATTGGGACATGCTCTGTCAGCCCCCTGCTTTGCCTGGGATCCCATCCCACACTTTGGGGGTGCTGTGGGGGTCACTGCAGGCAGCAGTGGGGCTTGGCAGGGTGAGGGGCTCAGTGCTGGCCCTGCACACCCCTGGCCATGCCCTGTGCCACGAGGAAGCGTGGCTGAAATCCCTGGTGTCTTCAGGCATGGCATGGGGAAGTCAGATCTGCTCCACAGCATCACGTGAGTGGAAGGAAACAGGGTGGTGGTGGTGAGTTTTCACAGCTCCTAGTGCTAAACCAAACCTGGTCCCAGGCCACCTGCCTGTCCCTGCCTGCACCACTGGCTCAGCCTGGAGCAGGGATGCTCCTGAGAAGGAGAGATGCTGGGCTCAGCATGGGCACTGGTTATGTTGGCTGCTGGCTCTACTTCCCTGTGCCTTGCCAAGGGTGATGAGCAGCAATTCTGGTCCTTCCCCTGCCAGAAGGAAGGAATGGGAGCAGAGGCAGCAGGTTGGGAGAGCCCCCAGAGATCTCAGCCTCAGCATCCCCACCTTGAGCAGCCCCAGGCCTCGTCTGAGTCTTGCTGCCACTCAGCAAGGGCACAGAGCAGGGCTGTGGGATGCAGCTGGGGACACAACTGTCCCCAGAGCCCTCCACGAGCCCTGGGGTGGAGCCCCCCTGTGCCCAGCACAGCCATCACCCAGCAGTGCTTTCCTGGGCCCTCACCAACCCTCCCACAGGAACGAAAAAGGAGAGAGTCTGTGTTTCACTCCCAATTGTCCCTATTTATAGCCCCAAGCGCTGGCAGGGTGGCTGTGACCTTGTCACCCGGTTCAGCAGAAGCTCTGCTCCCTCTCACACCACGCTGCCTTCGGGTCCACTTAACCCCCCACTTTCCCCCTTTCCTCTGCCTCCCCTGGCCGAACCATCTTCCACTCCCAGCACCCTTCTTCCCACTGCCCACCCACATCCCACTGCCCATCCCATGGCACCCAGCACTGCCAGGGGCTGCGGCACCAGCAGGAGCTGGGGTCCAGGCTGTGGGAATGGGCTGAGCAGGACAAAAACCTGAGGACTGGGAGCACCCAGCTCAGCCTGGCTCTGCCACAGCCCTGCCTATGGAATGATTGGACTGGGGGTGGCTGAGGGACTGGGATGTGGGGACAGCATGTGGCTTTGCTCTGTGGGGACATCCAGGTACTTCACTTTGCTCATTGGCCAGAGCTGACCTGTGAGTGGCTGAGCCAACACACCCTGGAGAAGCAGCAGGAGGGAGCAGCATCCCCTGGCAGGAGCACCCCCTTCCCATGCCAGGGGTGTGCTCAGCACGCAGCCAGGAGCAGGATCAGGTCACTGCCCACCCTGGGTGCTGTGGGACACACCCAGGGCCATTCTGGAGGAGTGTGCTGTGCCATGGGGAGCAGGGAGAAAGGAGCTGTGGGCCTGCACAGGGACCACAGGGAACACTGTCTGATTGATGGCAGCGAGAGGTGCTGCTGTGTGATCCTTGTTGGCACCAAAAGGCAATGCCAGCACATCTGGGTTAGCACCAAAAGCCAAGCTCAGCACATCTGGATTGGCACCAAAAGGCAATGCCAGCACACTCTGATGGACACCAAAGGGCACTGCCATCATCTGGATTTGCAGGGATGATTTCCCAGCCCCCTTTAATGCCCCTGCCACCCCCACCTCCCCAGCTGGCGGGCACTGGGTGCCATGGGGCTGTCACCAGCTGCCCCAGTGCCAGGCCTCCCCACGGGGCTGGCGGAGAGGGAAGTGCTGGAGGGAAGGCGAGGGCGTGTGCTCGAGGCTGCAGAAAGAGGAAGGATGACAAGAAGGGGACATTTCCCCACAGAGAGAAGAGACACCCCAGAAGCCACCCTCCCTGAGCTCCCCAATCCCCCTGTGAGTCTGGGAGTCCCCTGAGCTCTGCCAGGTGGCATCACACACCTGTGATGTCCCCATGATGTCTGGCACTGTTCTCTTGCCAAATGGAGCGGGGACCCTCCAAGCAACCAGACAAGATGAGCTCTCCCCAAAATCACTTTCAAAAGGGAACCTCCTTCCCTTCTAGCAGGCCTTGCTGAGACATTGGCCCTATCCCATACACCTGCATATGAAGCTCCTTGTGCCCTGCTCACCCTGGGCAGAGCAGCCTCCCCCAGTTCTGCAGCATGGGGCACAAATCAGCACCCACCTCAGTGCAGGGGCATTCCCAGCACAACCTGTGCTGTCCTCAACGTGCCCACCCAGCTGTGAGTGCTGGGAGGACTTGGGGGATGTGGGAGCAGCTCTTGTGCTGTGTCCATACCTGCAGCCTGGCCATGGCACCAGCCAGGGTGACCCCGGCTGGCTCAGGGGGTGCGCGGCATCGCCAGGACCGCCGGCTCTGCAGGCAGGGAGGTGGGGGAGAAAAGAAGACAGAAAGAGAAAAGGAAAGCAGCAGAACACATCCTCTCACAGGAAAGGGAGTGGTAAGGGAAGTGGCAAGCTCAACCGAAGAGTTCAGGCCTTTTTTGGGAAAGCCCCAGCCCGGCCCAGACGTGCTCCTTGCTGCTCCATCACAGGGCCAGCTGCCCCATGGAGGGGCACAGTGGGTCCCACCAGGGGCTGAGCCAGGTCAGCCTCCTGCCTCCCAGGAGGGCTGGATCCATGCAAGCACGAGGGCTACCAAGATGGGGCTCCCCAGCCAGGACTGGCACTGATGGCAGCTCCTCGGAAACAGCCCGGGCACGCTGGTGCTGGAACCACCCCGCGGCCGAGGAAGCGGCTGTGCCGAGGGTGACAGGGCAGGATGTGTCCCCAGGCTGCACCGAGGTCCTCGGTGACCAGCCGAGGCCACTTCAAAGCGACAGCGCTTTCTGCCACGCTGTGCTTCCGATGTGCCCGGGCTTCCAGCACTGCCCGCAGGGCACAGACAGCGGCAGCGAGGTGGGCAGTGCGGGAAGGGGCTGTGCGGAGGGTGGGCTGAGTCAGAGCCGCCGGCGGTGCCTCCCGGCAGCATCGTCCGTGCGAGGTGGGATGTGCCAGCCTGATGCACGGAGCGCAGCCCTGCTCCCTCGGCCAAGAGTGACTCACAAACAAAGTTGTTTGATTTTTTTCCTCTTCAGGAAAAATAGAAACAGAAGAGAGAGAGAGAGAGACAGAGGAATCAGCCGCCAACCTCCGTTTTCTTGATTAAATTCACCCTCGGCACTGCTGTGGGCAGAGGAGGCTCCAGCCCACAAGCGACCAGCACCGCTTGTGGTCTCTGCTGGCTGTGGTCACTGCCCCTCAGTGGCACGGTCTCACCGCGGGTGAAGAAGGGCAGCAGGGGAGAAGGAGGGAGGAGGGATGCTGGCAGCCACCGCCGCTCCCCTGGGGCAGCGCCATGTGCCTGTTACCGGCTCATCCCAGCGCCGCCTTCCCCGGACACGCGGTATCACCTCCCCTCCTCCCGAGCCCGCACACCCGGCACACAAAACCCCACGCGGCTGTGCTGCTGCTGCCCCCAGCCCCTGCATCGGGATGGAACCCTCCTGTCGCCCAAAAGCCACCACCGGCCTGGGCAGCTCCTTCCTCTGCCGTCACCCCCGGGCGCTCCAGGGGCTCAGCCGGGCACTGCTTCTCTGGGAACCTGAGCCTCATTTGTTCCCCAGATGGTTCTCCAGGATTCCCTTTGCTGCTACAAGGCAGGGAGAGAGCTGGCACTGTCAGGATGCAGCCATGCTCCCACGGCCTCTGGCAGCCCAGCTCACAGGCACCGAGAGTATTTTTATTCTCTGGCCACTTCTTGTCACTCTCCACCCCAGGAAGGACCTTCCCTTCGTATTTTATGGGTCAAAACAAGGATAGCAGCTTTGCTGCTTATCACAGAACCCCACAGGGATCACTTGGGTGGGGATAATGAACAAACCCCCAGTGGCCACGGAGACACCATCCCTGTCCAAGCCCCTGTCACAGCCCAGTGATGCCTCAGCCAGGAGCAGCACCGGATCTGAGCCCTCTCCATGCCTTGGAGGAGCAGCAAACACCCATCACCTGCTAGACCAGCCCTGCTGGATCAGCACAAGGAGAGCTTGGCAGCCCTGGCGTGCTGCTGGATTCTCCAGTGTCTAATAAGGGCTCAGCACAGCCTTGCAGCTTCCCCACCCCCTCCCTGGCATTCTCCCAGGAGGTCCCAGCACCTCTGATCTCTGCCAAATTTGGCTGGAACCAGCCACGGAGTGCAACCAGAGGCGAGGCAGCCCAGCAGGCAGCTGGGGTGGGTGGCAGGGGGCTGGCACCCCCCGGGACCCCTCTGCCAGGGTTACCCCACGGCACAGCCGAGGCACGGCCGCCGAGCCCCGCAGCTGCCTCCCGCCCCCGCAGCCTGTCCCAGCCACCTGCCAGCAGCACAGGAAGTTTTAGGAGTTATTTTTAGGCTCGGTTTTCAATCCCCCCACCCCACCCCTTAGCAATCTTTCAGAAAAAGATTAAAGAGGTTGAGGGATTGAGCCCCCTGGCTCTGCGGGATGGGGCTGGGCTGAGCCCAATCCTACCAGCACAGAGGTGCCAGCGATGCCTGGCAGGGGCTGGGTGGGCTCTGCTGGGATGAAGGCGTGGTTGTGCCCATGTGGCTGCACCCTGCCGTGTCCTCGCTGCCCTGCGAGCCCACGGCACTGATAAGGAGCCCAGGGCACTGATAACGCCGCAGATGTGCCCGCACACGTGGCTGAGGCAGCGGTGGCCAGCGGGTACCTCTGGGGACATCCTCTGCCCTGCAGTGATTTCTCTGCCATTCCCAGAGGCTGGAAAGGCAAATACTGCTGATGGGAACTGTGAGATGCTTCAGTGTGTCCGAACACCTCCCCAGTCCTTGACACCACAAGAGCTGACAGCCCCTCTCCTGCCAGGATGAGGACAATGCCAGGGGCCTTCTCCAGACCAGCTATCTCCTGTGCTCCCAGTGTATTTCTGCTTGAGCATCCTCCAAGCTGAATCCCACCACAAGCCCTCCCAAAAGGACCACATGAACCCATCCAGCACCTGCTGGGAAGAGGAGAACTGGCCCAGGGCTCTGTCCTGGCACCACAGCTGCTGGACAGCAGGACAGGCACAGCATTGCCAGCACCCACCCCCTGACCCTGAAACACTGAAACAGAGTCAATTGTTTATAGCATAAAAATAGCCCCATGCCAGTCAGCTGGGGGATTTAGCAAGGCAAGCCCAGACAATTATGTTTCTACTACCAGAGGTGTTGTGGTGTTAGGGCAGGGGCCTGTTCTGACCTCAGTAATGATCCATGGGAGAGGAGGAGACAGATCAGTGATCAATACTCAGCAGGGGCCAAAGGGATGGAGGAGCCTGTGGGTTGATGGGAGGGAAGATCAGAGGAAAGGGAGGGGGATAAGGCACTGGCATGACCAGGGGAAGAGCTGAGCTGGGCAGGTGGTGAGGTGCTCCTTGTTCACAGCAAGCTGCCAGGGACCACAGGACAGGGGCAATTTGAGGGATGAAGAGTGGCATCCTTCAAGGAAATGAGGAACCAGACAGAGAACCAAGGCAGGACTGGGATGAAAAGGAAGAACACTGCATCACAGGGCAATGCTGGATCAAAGGGCTGGCTTAGCACAGCTCTGAGAGCTCCCAACACACCTGAGGGATGATTGTTCCTCCAGCCCCAGCATGAGCCCAAACCCCAGTGGCTGCATGCAGAGCCCTGCATGGGAGGCACCAGGAGGTGCAGGAGGAGGTTTGGGAGCCTGTGCTGGCACAGGCAGGAGGTGAGTGTGACCATGCTGAGGACAGGTCTGGCCCTGCTCTCCAGCCACACTTCCTGCCCAAAGCATGGCCCCACATGGCATTGATGTGGTCAGGGCAGGGCAGAGCCTGGCTCAACCAGCAGTGGGACCAGCCAGGCCAGGGCCACACCAGCAGCTGGGGACAGCTGGGAACACACCCCAAATGCTGCACCCAGGGGCATTTGCCCAGCATGGTTTATTCAGCTGTGAGTGCTGCTGCCTGCACACTGCCAGCACTGACAGATGCCTTTGGAGGCCTGGCTTCAGGCAGATGTCACTTTGTGCTGGTGGGGATATGTACCAGGGCTGGGACATGTCCCCAGCATCAGGTCCCTGGACTACAGCTTTCAGAGCTGGGCTGTCACTTGTACCAGCAAAACTTCCTCCCACATCAGACTTCAGTCCTGCATTAAAACAGAGGGACTGAGGAATGAGCCCCCCAGGACTCATCCTGCAGGCAAACACCCATGGAAAAGGGGATCTGGTGACCCAATGCTCTGCCCAAGTTCTGGAGAATCCCAAGGGTCACCGGTGACCCCTGTGGTGTGGTCATGGTGCCAGGGCAGCAGGGAGGCTCTGCCCTGCCCCAGCCACCAGAAGGGATCAGGGTGAGCAATTGTTGTCCTCTGAATCCAGCTGCCCTGGTGGTTTAAACCTAAGGGGAAGATTGATGGCTGGGTTCAGCTCCATCACCCCAGGGAGGAGCTGGCAGTGTGGGGAGGAAGGAAACACTGTCACCCTGTGTGGCCCCATGCCCTGGGACACTGTCTGGCAGTGCAGCTGCTGCATCCCCCTGCTGCCAGACAGGGCAGGCACAGCTGGGGTGCAGGACCCTGGCCATGGTGGGTGCCCATTTCAGGCATTCTAGGCTCAGATGGTGGGAGTGGGCCTTGCAGGGCATCTCAGTGAGACCCTGATTTGACAGGCCATGGTGATGCCCTTTGCTGAGCCCCAGGATGCTGCAGGGTGCGGGTCCCATCACAGCACACGAGTTGCTGTCACCGCAATTCATTTCTGCACCCCCAAATCTGCTTTGCCAGCTCTCTCCTCCTGGTGAAACACACACCAGGCTCTCAGGCAGCATCTTCCCTTGGGTTTGTTGGGTTTTTTCCAGTCTACCTTGAAGCTTTCTGCCCACTAATGCCAATATGTACCTGTTTGTTCTTCTCCTGCCCTTTGCCCTGGAGTGCTGCTTGGGCATTCGCCTTCTGTCGAGGAAGCTACAGCCCTGCTTGGGTTAAACCAGCAGGAGGGGGAGCAGCTGGAAAACCCAAACCCTTGCCCCAAACCCTTTTGCTGACCCCCTTTAGGCTGAACCAGCAGTGCTTCCAGTGCCAATGCAGCCAGAGCCTGTCCCCTGCACGGAGCCACAGCCGTGCACAGGAATGCCGCGAGCCCCGCTCTGCCATGCCCACCCCGCTGCTCCCCTGGAGGCTTCACAGCATTTCTGCCTCCAGAGTGGGCAAGTGCTGACAAGTGAGAGTGGAGTGTGGCAAACCTGGGCCCCCAAGCCCAGCGTGTTTCCACAGCTGGAGCAGAGAGCCCTCAAAAGGTCAACCGAGGCTGGTTCCAAGTGCTCGGAGAACTGGAAGGGCGGCTTGCTCGAAAACTCGACCACACATTTTCCTGCTGTCAGGAAACCCCCTTTTTTCCATGTCTAAGATGAATGGTGAAGCTGAACCCCAAAGAACTTTGTTGTTGTTTTCATTGCTGCTC